GTATCTTAGTCCATTTATGCTGCTGTAACTAAATTCCATAAACTGGGGGCTTACAAACAACAAACATTTATTTCTCACAGGTTTGAAGGCTGGGAAGTCCAAGATCAAAGCACTTGCAGATTTAGTGTCTGTCATCATAGATGGTATCTTTGCACTGTGACCTCACATGGCAGAAGGGCTTGATCATTCTTTACAGTCTCTTTTCTAGGGTACTAATCCTAATCATGAAGACTTTGTCCTCATGTCCTACCTAATCACATTCAAGAAGGGATTTTTAATACCATTGCCTCAGGGATTAGGATTTCAACATATGAATTCTAATGGGACACAAACATTCAGACCATAGCACCTCCATTACCTTCAGTCTTCAGAAAGAAGAAGTTCCACACTTGCATTAGCCACATTTTCAGAAATTAAAAAATTTCTCTGGTTTAAAAAGTGTTGTGTTTGGCCTTAATAAGACTGACCCAATTCCCTTTAGAGACCATCTACTTTGTCTCTCAAAGAACTTTTAAAGGTGTTACACTGTCCCCAACAGAAAGTCTTCTTAAGGCTCAATTAAACATCCAGACGTATAAGACAACCATAGCCATAGGCCATACATGCTGCCAGTTTACTCAAAAGGGTATCAATTAGGAAAACAGATTGCCAACAAAGAAGTATCAGGTGTTCCTCTTCAGTGGGACTCCTTACAGGAGACTACGCAGATCAGATATAGGGAAAAGATTCACACTGCGTATGAACGAGAATCATCCTAAGGCAGAAGGCTCCAGGTACCACAGGAGCCAATATCTCTAGTAGCAACTCCACAGGCACAGCTTCCAGAATTTCCATAAGGGACAGTTATAAGAGTCACTACAGGCTGGGTGTAGTGGCTCAGGCCTATAATCCCAATACTTTGGGAGGCCAAGGCAGGCGGATCATGAGGTCGAGAGATCAAGACCATCCTGGCCAACATGGTAAAACCCCATCTCTAATAAAACAAACATTAGCTGGGCATGGTGGTGTGCACCTGTAGTGCCAGTTACTTGGGAGACTGAGGCAGGAGAATCACTTGAACTCGGGAAGCAGAGGTTGCAGTGAGCCGAGATCAAGCCACTGCACCACTCCAGCCTAGCGACAGAGCAAGACTCTGTCTCAAAAAAAAAAAAAAAAAGTCACTACATGCAAGGAAGTCCAAAGCTATGGCTTCCTGTCAGGTATTGACAATTATCCCTGTCAAGTATTGACAACCCTCCCTCTCCAGATGCAATTTACCAACTGGGTTATTTTTACCATAAGCAATTAACGCATTTTTCATTGTTTTTTGGAAAACTAGGGAGTTAACAAAAACTCACATTTTCATAAAAGGGGAAAGTTAACTCTTTATTACTAGGTGTCATCTCCCACAAAACAAAAATGAACAAAATTGTTCTCCAGACTTTTAAAAGTGAGCTTTTCAACTGCTTTCAGTATACCTTGAGGAAAGCAAGAAGTCCTCACTACTTCCTGCCTAGACTAGTATCTCTTTGCTTTTCATAGGCTTATCTACATGTAATTTTGAGTGATCTTTCTATAAAGAAAACCCTGTCACGTCTTTTCTGGGTTAAAAATCAATACCTCAGTGGTTCCTCAATATGTTTGAGAGACAGTCCCAAAAGCAGGCACATATGTAGCTGTATACTTCTCTAACACCAACGGTTATCACCGTTCCCCTCAACTGGTCATCTCAAACATTTTCCATTTCATACCCTTATCATTTAAATAGAAATCATTACAGGGTGAGAAAAACAAATGAATATAATGGGAGTTCTCATTTTTTCTTTGAGTATCCCAATGATTGTTTTGCTCACCCTTCTCTCAAGTCCCCCTGCTTATAACTTCATTCACTGTTACCTGTAAGTCCCTGCCTCAGTTCTCTGATGTCACTATGCCTTTATATATATTATGATTCTCTATGTCTAGATAGAATAGTGCCTAGGATAGTCAGCCATTTATCTAGCCACTGTCCTTCTTCCTCCTTTCCATTCCCTATTCTGCCTTCTGCATTCAATTCTACCAGCTACCTCAATGGGACAGGGGCCGTATCATTCATACATATATATACATATATATGGAATGATGTGAAAGCAGACATTGGTAGTGGTGGTAGAAATAATGGCAACACTGAGGACATTGTCTACTGTATCAGTGGACACAGATACAGACAGTAAAAAATAAAAGATCTCCAGGAGATCACCATTTGGAAGGAGAATCTGACCTTTTGAAGAAAGTTATCCAAGAAAGATTGCGTAAAATGTGGTATAGCCATACATTCTTTGGACTTAATGAAGATGCAAATGATCGAAAACCAAGTTGACTCTGTGCCACTGCTACTCTCTTCTTTACAAACGAGACCCTCATCACTTAACTCACCTTCTGGAAGAGCTTTTTAAATGGCCTAATCACCTCCAGACTTGGATCCCTCCAATCTACTATATAGAATGCTTCAAAATCCTGACTCATTCCCTAGTATCTATAGAAAATCTAACTTCCTTAGATGTGATACCCAAAGCTATCTCCACGATCTGGCCCCAACCTACCATTTTAGCCTTTCCCACCACTGCCTAGATAACCTGAACTGCAACCAATAACATAATAACTGCAACCATAACACCAACAACCCTCCAGGACCTACCCTGCATTGCAATTCTGCCATCCTAAAACCACATTTTTCCTGAAATACACAGCTGAAATACAACCTTGAATTGTCTGCATCGCTCTTCATAGTTTAGAGAACATAATACATGTCATTTTTATCCTCATAGCTGCTGTCTAAGATATCTTTATGCTCCTTCTACAAACTCAGGCCAACTGCCCTGCCAAGGGCACTGCAGCCAATGACAGAAGTGGGGGTTCAAATGCAGGTCTACAGACTCCAAATACCCTGTGCATACACCATACCGCTGATGCTACCTTTAAAAACCTCTACCTCTTCTGTGCTCCCAGGGCGATTTATAATTTCAATAGCACCCTAATCTTAGGTCCATTGTGTATTTGAATTGATATAAGTGGGTGAAGGGAGGGGACCTCATCTTGCTTATCCCAGTATCCCCCAAGTACTTACCATCTTCTTTACATACAGTGTAACTCTATTAAGTGATCACACTGAATTGAATTCATTTAGGGCTTTTTAAAAAAAATTCAGAGTCTCATTTTGTTGCCCAGGCTGGAGTGCAGTGGCATGATCTTGGCTCCCTGCAACCTCTGCCTCCCAGGTTCAAGTGATTCTCCTGCCTCAGCCTCCAGAGTAGCTGAGATTACAGGCGCCCACTACTACACCCAGCTAATTTTTGTATTTTCAGTAAAGACAGAGTTTTGCCATGTTGGCCAGGCTGGTTTTGAATTCATGACCTCAGGTGATCCACACACCTTGGCCTCCAAAAGTGCTGGGATTACAGGCGTGAGCCACAACACCCAGCCTTTATTGAGGTTTTTTATTTTCCTTCATGGGAAACTCCAAAATTACTGCTGGAGTCAGCACCCCTGAAGCAGAACAGGGTGGAGGCTGAAGTGTGGGCTCCTCCCTGGGCGAATCACTCAGCACCTCTATGCGCCTGAGTGTGCTTATTTGTAATATGGAGATCATAATTATGCTTTCTTCATAGGGTTGTTAGGATTGAACAATGTACTTAAAACACCAAGCCAGGGCCTGCCACACTCAATAGATACCAGCTATTATTACGTATTCCATTTTATGTCTCCACGTGGTATTTCCGTGGCCAAAAATTACTGATCTCAAAAATTACTCCAAATCCTCAAGAGAAATTTAGATACTATAGAATGTAAATTAAGATGCAAGGACATTTGCTTAGTATATTTTACAAAAATCTCCCAGGAATCTTTCTAGTTTATTTGAAATAACCTATTACATAAAATCCCAGGTATCTAAGACATTATTTTACACTGAGTGACTCAATTACATTATATGAAATAACCGGGTATTAATATTAAGGTATATACAAGTCAGATGAGTGTGACAGGGAATTTTTTTACCTTCCCCCCTTAATTTTGCAATGACTAACATTTTTCCTAAGCCAAGTACCAGGTGCTAGTCAAGTTTTAGCAATGAAAGGTGTCTGACTTGTCTGACTCTTTGCCCTGAAGGTAAAGAACAAGCAGGGGCCCAAGTCATGGACCACTTATCTACCTAGGCCATTTAGAGGTCTGCAGGGAGCACACATTCAATCTTCAAGGAATTTACAAATGATGCTGTCAAATGAATAAATACAAAGGCATTTACAGACACTGATTTCACTGGAATAAACAGCGGTTACTGTGTCTGATCTTAATGCATCCGAGACATGACACCTGAGTGACTTACTGTTACTCAGTAAAGACATGTTCGGTAAGTGAAAGCCTTCATATGCAAACAGGTCATTTCTCTTACTGGGCTATTATTGTAAGAGGGTAAGAGAAGGAATTTCTAAGATTCCTTTCAGATCCAGACTCTATGATTCTGTACTCTCCCCTGGGCCCCACGAAGCCAAGGAAGGCAAGGGCGGCTATGAGCAACAGCAAAGGCCAGGCAAGCACATGTGAAATTCTGGGCGCGGTTAAACTTAGATCAAATCAGTTTGCAGAAGTTAAGATTGGAGTCAGGGTGGTAAGGAAAAACGAGGCTAGGCAGGGCTGACACAGGACGGGGACCTTTGAACCTCTTTCTGGGAGTTTTGAAACCGCTGTTGTGGGCCCTGGCGATTGATTTAGGAAATCTGACCCTGGGTTGGCCTGGCGTCGCAATGTAAGTTAATTCAAAACAGGGTCGCAGTCTTTGAAACTGGCTGAGGCAACGGATCCCCTCCACACTTCGCGGGCCCCACGGATCCCCCCATCGAACACCATTATCCCTCTTCCCAGCACACTCCCGTCCGCCCGAGGCCGGCGGACCTGCAGCGGCGGCGGCATAGAGGTGGAAAGAATGCGGCCCGGTCCCGGCCCGGCGGAGCTCGGGGAGCCGTTCCCTTCCGTCCTGTGCCCACCTTGGTACTGGGGTCCGCGTCGGAGCAGCAACTGAGGGCGGCCTCGTCAGTGAGGCCGCCGGACGCGGGCTGCGGTTCTGCCATGGCTGCGGTGGAGTATCACAAACGACCCGACCCAAAGAACGGAGCAGCGACCCACACTCCGCCCCGGCCCTGTGCCGCCTTAACTAGGGACCGCGCGTCGGCGCTTCGGGGCGGGCGACCGCTGACTTCTAGCCAATCGCTGAGCGGAGAGCAAGTTGACTCTCTGCTGATTGGGTTCCAGTGAGTCAGCGCCTCCACCCACAGGACTATGTCTCAGACTACAACTCCCAAGGAGCCTTGCCCTTAAAAAGGCAAACTCGTTAAACAAACAAAAAAATGCAGGCTGGGAAGAGTGGTTTTTCTGTTTCTTGATGACCTAATTTTATTTGTTTAACTAAAGTTTGGTAACCATTCATACCTCAGGGCTGCAGTTTGGTAGAAAATTAGAATCTGACGGAAAGTGAGAACTGTGAGTTGTTCTTTTAAAATTGTAAGGATTCAGAGGCTTCTCAGTTTAAGCAGCACAGAGTAATTAAAACAATTGAGTCAAAAACATATATGTTCAAGTCTTGGTTCCGCTATGTATTAGCGCTAGAAGCTTGCAATAATTACTGACCCTCTCTGAGCTTCCTAACAGGATTTAGTGAGAACTAAATTAGTTTTCTTTTTCTTCCTTTTTTTTTCTTTTTTTAAAGACAGTGTCTGGCTCTGTCACCCAGACTAGAGTGCAGTAGTGTGATTTCAGCTTACTGAAGTCACTGCAGCCTCGACTTCCTGGGTTCAAGCAATCCTCCTGCCTCACTCTCCTAATTAGCTGGGAATACAGGCTGCAAAACCACGCCCAGTTATTTTTTGTATTTTTTGTAGAGATGGGGTTTTCACTATGCTGCCCAGGCTGCTAACTCCTGGGCTCAAGTGATCCTCCCACCTTAGCCTTCCAAAGTGCTAGGATTACAGGTGTAGCCACTGGGCCCAGCCTAAATGAGATATAAGTCATGGTTTGCCTACTTAGGTTCCAAATGTCCATGACTTGCAATACTTTTTACGTTAACATATTTTGTGTTCACTGGAAGGCTTAGTCATCACGGTGTCTTCAATGACTGGCTCATAGTAGATGCTCATTAAATAATTCCTGTTGTTAAAAGAATAAATGAGAATGACTAGTGCTCACCTAACCAAAATGAGGTTGGGCAGGGAGTTGTATGGCACTAACCACCTGGCCACTGTCAAGATGTCTGTGTCTCTCATCTCAGCTTTTTTCTGCATCTCAGCTTCATTTTGTCAGACACGAACTCCATGAGACTAGAAATTTGGCAGCTATCCTCTCACTAGGAGAGGGAGTAAACTCTCCCTCTGGATTTTATCCAGTCAGCCTGGATTTTATAAAATTGGAAAATCCAGGAAGGAGCTGTGATTGGCCTGGCCTAAGACCTGTGCTTACTCCTGTGATTGGAGTACAGTGATTGGAAAGCTGGATTAGAACCACTTGGTTGGAGTTTGGGGAAATCCGTTCCCCCAAAGAAGAGGAATTATATTTTTATACGAAGGGAGGATTGCTAGGCAAACTGAACCATAGTTGTCCACTGCAAAAGGATGGGCAGGATAAGGATTTCAGCAGAAATGTTGTGCATACCTCAAACTTATTGAGGGTATTTCATCAAAACACAGTCTATTAGAACTACAGAACTTCTACATGGACCTAGACCTTAAACCTTTTAAACCTAGGAATTGGGGCAATACACAAACTCTTCATATACTGTACTTTACCACTGAATTGTTGAAAAGACACTCAAATTGTCTTCTTTTCCATTAATCTTTTTTTTTTTTT